GCCTGACAGCATCCCTCACCGATGGTGTCCAGCACTGGGTTCGAGGGTTGCTGCCGCGACAGGCATGCCAACCTTGCGGCTGCAGATCCGGTAAGCCATCTCGACAATAGAGGCATGGAACATGGCCCACTCGGACTCAATGTCCCCCACCTCCCCTGGAACATGCTCGAAGTTCCCCCAGAGGTGGGAGTTAAAGCTCCGTCTCACAGGAGACTTTGCCAGACGTTTCCAGCAAACCCTCACAATATGTTTGGGTCTGCCAGGTCTGACCGGCATCCTCCCCACCATTGGAGTCAACTCACCAACAGGTAGTGATCAGTGGACAGCTCTGCCACTCTCTTCACCCGAGTGTCCAAGACATGTGGCGGCAGATCAGATGAGATGACAATAAAGTCAATCATTGAACTGCGGCCTAGGGTGTCCTGGTGCCAAGAGCACATATGGACACCCTTATGCTTGAACATGGTGTTTGTTATTGACAATCCATGACGAGCACAGAAGTCTAACAACAGAACACCACTCGTATTCAGATCAGGGGAGCCGTTCCTTCTAACCACACCCCTCCAGGTCTCACTGTCTTTGCCCACATGAGCATTGAAGTCCCCCAGTAGAACAAGGGAGTCCCCAGGAGGTGCACTTTCCAGTACCCCCTCCAAGGACTCCAAGAAGGGTGGATAATCTGAACTGCCGTTTGGTGCATAAGCACAAATGACAGTCAGAACCCGTCTCCCCACACGTAGGCGGAGGGAGGCCACCCTTTCATTCACCGGGGTGAACCCCAACACACAGGCACCAAGATTGGGAGGGGGGGGGCAATAAGTATGCCTACTTCTGCTCAGCGCCTCTCACCAGGGGTAACTCCAGAGTGGAAGAGTGTCCAACCCCTCTCAAGGAAACTGGTTCCAGAGCCAGAGCCATGCGTAGAGGTGATTCCGACTATTTCTAGCCGGAACCTCTGAACCTCACACACCAGCTCAGGCTCCTTTCCCACTAGTGAGGTGACATTCCACGTCCCAATAGCCAGCTTCTTTAGCCGAGGATCAGACCGCCAGGGTCCCCACCCTCGGCCACCACCCATCCCACATTGCACCTGACCCCTTTGGCCCCACCCACAGGTGGTGAGCCCACGGGTAGGGGGACCCACGTCTCCTCTTCGGGCTGTGCCCTGCCAAGCTCCATGGGTAAAAGCCCGGCTACCAGGCGCTCGCCCCGCGTGCCCCACCTCCAGGCCTGGCTCCAGAGTGGGGCCCCGTTGACCCACTTCCGGGCGAGGGAACATCAAGTCCATATCTTTTTCTCATCATAGGGGTCTTTGGGCTGCAGTTTGTCTGGTGTCTCACCTAGGACATGTCTGCCTTGGGTGACCCTACTAGGGGCGTAAAGCCCCTGACAGCATAGCTCCTAGGATCATTGGGACACTCAAACCCCTCCACCATGGTAATGTGGCAGCCCAGGGAGGGGAAAATACTCAAGTATGTTTTTTAAATCACTGAACAGTTCTGCTCCATCCTTTCTCACTGATCTTCTGCAGCCTTATGTCCCACTGCGCTCTCTGAGGTCAGCAGACCAGATGCTCCTTTCAGTTCCAGAAACCCACCGTAAACTCACAGTCTTTAAGTCTCACATGAAAACCCACTTTTATTCTTTTGCCTTTGACACGGTGTGATTGTTTTGATCCTCTCTGTAGTCTACAGTGTTGGCCATTTAGTGATTATCCACCGCTATTTGTACCTATATTTTTATTTTATGTTTTCCTGTCCGCTGTGCTTGTTTGTTTCTATTGTACAGCACTTTGGTTGGCCTTGTTGCTGTTTTAAGTGCTCTATAAATAAATTGGTACGGTATACTATGGTATCTTTGTGAAAATAAACCATCCATCATTAAACAGGGGTGGAGGCCTCCGTGTTCAACTGTCCCCCTCTTACAATGCTGTTATTGCTAGTATCACTCATCCCCCTGTAAATAGCAAGCAGACATCAGGGTGCTCACGATCCATCATTAGGCTGATGGTCCTTCTTGATCATGTGAACAGCTAGTTTTGACTGTCAGCAGCAAACTGGTTGATCCACTATGAGAAGGTGCTATTTATAAGACTGACCTTATTGGAATGCCCACTGAATGCTGAAGATGCTGAATCTCTACGCCACGCTGTTAATCCCCTCGTGCCTTTATCCAGTTTAGGATGAGACATTTAACAATACTCTCACACGCTCTGCACCTACATCACCATTATTTACAGTGATCTCATGGCGATGGCTCAGGGGTCACATGCGGCTCTTTGGTCCCTCTGCAGCGGCTCTTTCAAGCTTTGACCAAAACTAACACAAAACTCAATTTTATTCTTTATTATACAAACAAAAAATAAAGCTGGTTTTAGCAGTTGTCTGTTTTCAAGGCTTTTTTTTTGTTTGTATTTTTTTGTGCAAATATGCCATTAGTAATATACACACTTTAACTTCATGCATTATGTTGTAGCTGTTTTTGTTTTGTTTTTAGATCATTTCTTCTATTTACATTTCTTTTTACATGATTGTTTATTGTTGTCTGTTCCTCATCTGTGTTCTTTATTTAAACCAGGTCTCTCTTGTAAATAAGTCCTCGAGGTTCAATGAGACTACCCTGTAAAAATAAAGGTTGAATGAAAAAAAATTACAAGATCTCAGACTGAAGAAGTCCTTTGGATAAAAGCTGAACCATTTCAACAAACAAGAATCCATCCAGAGGACCTGTCGTAACCTTGTTTCAAGATTGAAACAGATTTCTCTCAATACATTTTTCATTTAGTCTCATTCACCATTTCTTAAACTTTGACCTAAGTCCTGCTGATGGAAAAACGTTGCCACAGCATAGTGCCACCACCACCATGCTTCACTAAATGGACTGTATTCTACTCTTTTTCAGACAGACATGACATTGTCCAAAATGCTCAGCTTCAACTGAACAAAACTTTTTCTGTCACATTTTTGGGGAGAAAATTGAAAAGGTGAAACGTCCACACCTGCCTCCACCCTCAATTGCCCCACTCTGGGCCTTTGATCAAGGCCCTTAACCCCCACCATCTGCTCCTCCTGGTGTCCTAGATAGCAGCTCTCTGCTCCACACAGAGGGAAACATTGTTACTTGTTAAACTTTATTAATTCAAAGTATTTTTTGTAAAAGTATTTTCTAAATAAAATTAAAAATACATTTAAAATCCAGGTTTGAAGGGTTTGGGGTGTTCAAATGACCCGAGCACAGAATTTCAGAGCACTTCACCTTAGTATTAAAGATTTAATTGAGACAAAGTTAAAGTATGCAGATATTACATGTAATCAGAATGCAGTCTGAGGAACAAAGTCAGAGCGAACCTTGCCTGGTCAATCAGCCTCGTGTTTGTTCAACCAAACTCTGTGTATGAGCAAGATTTATAGGTTTCTCATGTCCCGCCCTTTTGGGTTCGGACAGACTTGTGATTGTGTGTCAAAACCTCTTGATGGTCCGAGTGACACCATGTTCAGCCACTCAGGAGCAGATTTTATCTCCAGGGTTACTCCGAAAGCCCCAGACGGCCTCGCTCCTTCTTCTACTGATAAGGGTTAATTTACGAGCTTTGTTTTGGAACGCAGGACACTTACTCTCAGCTGCTTTACTCAGAGAACAAAGAAGGATCGTTTCCTGCTGCACATACAAGCGTCATACCTGTCTCTGTTTCCCTCAGAATTATATCAAATGTGAACTTGTATGATTATCCTTAGCACTTGTGAGATTATATATATAAAGCATAGTAAACACTTTAAAATTAATTCAGGCCTGTAAATATAGTTCAAACCCTTGAATTCAGACACGCACACACCTTGTAGAAAATGCATCATTTCATTCCATCAGAGAAATGTCAAGGCTTGTCAAAAGATATAAAAAGATATAAAAGATATCAAATCCAACAGGTTATAAAGAAAAAGTAAAAAAAAAAAAAAGAAGCATTGATTACTTTTGAGATCTACAATAGTCTAATACCAGAATTAAAAAAAAATAATTCTTACAAGATTTTTTCTTCTTCTTTCGGCTGTTCCATGTGTTAGGGGTCGCCATAGCGAAATAAGTCATGCGAAGACTTGGTAATTATTTTTACGCTGGATGCCCTTCCTGACACAACCACAGCCCATCGAGTTACCACATCCCTCTGTGTGGAGCAGAGAGCTGCTATCTAGGACACCCAGAGGAGCGGATGGTGGGGGTTAAGGGCCTTGTTCAAGGGCCCAGAGTGGGATGAATGAGGGTGGAGGCAGGTGTGGGTGCTTCACCTACCCCCACCCACATTTTTGATGTTGTCGGTACGGGGCTTGAACCGGCGATCTTCCGATCACAGGCCCACCTTCATTGACCTCTGCGCCACCACTCCCCATTTCAAGATTTCATCTTACAAGATGAAATTGTTTAATAAATGTAGCGTTGTGTTTATTTATTTCATTAACCTTTATTTAACCAGGCAAATCCCATTGAGATCACAGATCTCTTTTGCAAGAGAGGCCTGGACCTGAAGGCAGACTAACATGCACGTTTTTGGTCTGTGGGAGGAAACCGGAGTACCCGGAGAAAACCCATGTAGCACAAGAAGAACAAGCAAACCCCACACAAAAAGACCCCAGGTCCAACCGGGGACTGAACCCAGGACCTTCTTGCGGAGAGGCAACAGTGCTAACTACTGAGCCACTGTGTTATTTAAAATAGAAAAGCTCTCAGATGCTTAGTGATGTAGCGCGAGCACAGGCATCATCAATCGTTGATGTGGGCATTGATTTCTGTAACTGATTTGTCCCTCGTTTGCTTCCACCACGCATAATTTGGCTGCCGTCTCTTACAAGTAAGTACTTCTTTGTTTGTCTGCACGGTCTCTGGGTGCTCTCTGCAGTGTTCAGACAGATTCTCATCATGTTTTCCTCCTCATCCCTTTTCATTGTCTGCCTTGTGACCTTGTTTGACCCTGTCACCAACAGTGGCTGCAATGATCTTCAACGGTTTAGTTCCAATGCCAGATAACAGCTCGAGTGTTTCTGGGGTAAGTGCTTGTTTTCGTTCAGTTTAGTTTACCTTTATTTATTTATTTATTTATTTAGGTTTTTTGAGTTTTAAGCTGGATGTGATTATTTCCAGCAGGGGTGGTAATGTTTCAGCTGCAAAATAAACTAAAATACATCAAAATAAGCTAAATTACTTGTCAGCTAACCCCAGTGTTGCCTCAGTCACCAGAAAAAGTAGCTTCACCCTTCAATTTCTAACCATTGTTTGTTTGCTTTGTCCACCTCTCACCCCCTTCATTTCTAACTTCAAATATCTGCTGACAGTTTTACTTTAGCGGTTTTTAATGAAACTCTTTGCTCTTTGGTTTCTTCTGTCCACCCAACACTGCCACCACCATCCCAGTTGAATGTGACAGCTCTGGACTGGAGTCAGCTGAGCAAGAAGGAGTGTCTGAAGTATGGAGGCTCTTTGGTGGGAAAGTCCTGCAAGTACACCCCTGACCTGGCCCTGATGTCCTTTATTCTCTTCTTCGGCACCTACTCCATGACTGTCTCACTAAAGAAGTTCAAGTTCAGCCGCTACTTCCCCACCAAGGTGACTAATTATTGTAAAATACACTGTCAAAACCCATTCATTCATTTTTTAAACCTACTTTGTCCTTGCTGGTTTGCATGGTAGCTGGGGCCTACCTTCAGTGAACATTATGTGAGAAGTGTGTCAGATCAATGAAAAGAACATTTTAGAAAGGCTGAATCACTTTACGTGCAAAGTTGAGCAGAGGTTCACCAAACTGCAAATTAAACAGGGCTATGAATAGTGGAATAATTTCAAAGTACTATTGCTCAATAAAAACTTGGGATAATTTGAATTATTCATTTTCAATTTATTTATATATCACCGATCCACAACAAAGTTGTCTCAGGGCATTGAACAGAAACATTCACATACATACAAAAGTCAATTAGCAAAAGTTATGTATCTAAGGAAGGGTGCTAGCAGATGTGTTGAATCTTCACTTAGTTGCAGTTTCCCATCCTGAGCAAGCACAAAGGTAACAGTGGAAAGGAATACTCCCTCATGAGGAAGAAACCTTTAGCGGCAAGCGGCCATCTGCTTCAACCGGCTGGGTTTGGTAGGAACAGATACACAATGGCAGGTCAAGAATCACATGTTAAGATAGAAACGGTATCAAATGAAAACTATTCAATTTTAACAATTAATTTAAGGAAATTAGGTCAATTTGTCCTCTAGTAGTCTAAGCCTATAGCAGCATAACAAGCCAACCCTAACTATAGGATTTATCAAAAAGGAAAGTCTTAATCCCAGTCTTAAAACTGGACAATGAGTCAGCCTCATGGACAGAAACTGGAAGTTGGTTCCACAAGAGAGGAGCCTGAGAACTGAAAGATCTTCCTACCATTCTGCTTCTGGAAACTCTAGGAACCACAAGTAAGTTCAATTTGTGTTTATTTGTCATATGCAGGTTAACACAGGGTTAACAGTACAATGAAATGCTAAGGCTGAGAAGAACTGATTTGACTCGCTAAAAAAAATCAAAGAACAAACCAACAAGAACATTCAAAAAAGTATGCAATAAGGGTACACAAAAAAGTACAAAAAAGTGAAAAAGTAATTAATTAAAACATTTACTATAATAATAATAATAATAATAATAATAATAATAATTTTATTTAAAAAGCGCCTTTCATGACACCCAAGGACACTTTACAGTAAGAACAAAGATCAACAGGAATAAATTACATAAATAATATACAATACATACAGAATATAAAATGCGTAAAGAATATAAAATACATACAGCAAAGTTAAGGATAAGCAAGTCTAAAGAGATGTGTTTTCAGAGCAGTCTTGAATATAGAAAGAGAGGTGGTGTTTCTTAAGTCAGGGGGTAGAGAGTTCCAGAGATGAGGAGCAGAGCAGGTGAAGGCCCTGCTCCCCATGGTGGAGAGGCGGGCAGAGGGTACATGGAGGTGTAGTGAAGAGGAGGATCTGAGAGAGCGAGAGGGGATGGAGATGTGTAGGAGGTCAGATAGGTAAGGAGGGGAAAGGTTGTGGATAGCTTTGAAAGTGAGAAGAAGAATTTTGAAGACGATGCGTGATTTAACCGGGAGCCAGTGGAGCTGCTGCAGGACTGGAGTGATGTGGTTATAGGAGGAGGTTTGAGTGATGACACGGGCAGCTGAGTTCTGGACCAATTGCAGCTTCTGGAGAGATTTGTTGGGGAGGCCATAAAGAAGGGAGTTGCAGTAGTCAATCCGAGAAGTCACAAGACTGTGCACAAGGATGGCTGTGGAGCGGGGTGTGAGAGAAGGGCGGAGACGGTTAATATTTTGGAGATGGAAATAGGCAGACCGAGTGACATTGTTGATGTGTGAAGTGAAGGAGAGAGTGGTGTCGAGGATGACACCAAGACTCTTGACCTGAGGCGAGGGGGATAGCAGAGAGTTGTTAAGGGGGATGAGATTTTCTGATTTAGAAAGAGTTTTTGGTACTGACAAGAATGATTTCTGTTTTGTTACTGTTTAGTTGTAGGAAGTTGTTAGAAAACCAGTGATTTAGCTCATTGAGACAGTCGGTGAGGATGGATGGAGGGTGGAGTTTGGTTTTGTTGACAGGTAGAGCTGTGTGTCATCAGCATAACAATGAAAATGGACACCAAATTTACGGAAGATGTGACCTAGAGGAAGGAGGTAAATGATGAAGAGGAGGGGTCCGAGGACAGAGCCTTGGGGGACACCCGTGGAGACGGGGGAAGACTGGGAACGAAAGGAATTGAGCTGAATGAATTGAGTGCGGTCAGAGAGATATGATTTGAACCAGTCTAACGGAGTACCTGAGATGCCAATGGAGGTTAGTCTGTTGAGGAGAATAGAATGACAGATTGTGTCGAAGGCAGAACTTAGATCCAGTAAAATGAGGATAGACAGAAGAGCAGAGTCAGCAGCAAGAAGAAGGTCATTAGTTATTTTTATTAGAGCTGTTTCGGTGCTATGGTGGGGGGTGAAAACCAGATTGAAACTCTTCATAAATATTATTGTTGGATAGGTGAGAGTGAAGTTGAATAGCAACGGCTTTTTCAAGAACTTTGGAAATAAAGGGCAGATTAGAGATTGGACGAAGATTACTTAAATTGGTAATGTCAATGTCCTACAGAGAAATATGGTAGAATATAATGGTGCAGCAGGATGAATTTGAATAAGTATTTTGAGGTAGTAATATAAGCTAAAATGCACAAGATACACACACACACACACACACACACACACACACACACACACACACACATATATATATATATATATATATATATATATATATATATATACTGCACATAATCAACATATACCACATATAGGTTATTGCATAGGTAGTGACATTGAGGTAGTTAGTTATTTCCAGTTGTTCAGTGTTATTTATCCAGAGTTCATTATTCTGACAGCTTGTGGATAATAACTGTCATTCAGTCTTTTTGTACATGATGACAGACTCCTGTATCGTCTGCCTGAGGGTAGTAGACCGAAGAGTACTTGTGCTGGGTGAGTGTGGTCCTTAATGATGCTGTGTGCTTTACGCAAACATCAGCTGTGGTAGATGTCCTGGATGGTGTGGAGACTGCTACCAGTGATGTCCTCTGTTGTTTGCACCACCCTCTGTAGAACTTTCTAACTGGTGAAGTTCCCGTACCACCCTGTGATGCAGCCTGTCAGCAGGCTCTCCATGGTGCACCTAAAGTTGGTGAGGATGCTGGTGTTTGTACCAAACTTCTTTAGGCTTCTTAGGAAGTAGAGTCTTTTTTGGGCTTTCTTGACCACAGTGTCTCTATGTAAAGTCCAGGACAGATCCTCGGTAATGTGAACGCAGAGAAACTTGAAGCTGCTGACTTCATCTCAGTGTTGTTTATTTCAATTCAATTCAGTTTGTATACCTAGTAAAGAAACTGAAAGTTAAACTGGGGTTCTTTTTCAGAAACAGATCCTGTCTAACTCTGAATGTTAGGAAACACCTTGTAACTGTCTTTCCTTCCCTCCATTGATTACTGTGACATTATTTACATGAACGCTCTTACAAGCACCCTGCAGATGTTGGATGCTGTTTATAATGGTGCACTGAGATTCATAACTGGCTGTGATTATCGTACCCATCATTGCACCCTGTATTCACTGCTTAACTGGATGTTGTTAATTCAATTCAATTCAATTCAAAAATACTTTATTAATCCCAGAGGGAAATTATATGTTGTGGTAAATGCAGATTGCAAAAGCTGGAAAGCCTTATCAACTGTTTTAGCTCAACAGTAAACAACTGTGTCATCAGCATAGAAATGTATGAATGTATCAGGGATGTTTTTACTTACATTACATATGTAGATTGTAACAAGGGTGGGTCCTAAGAATGAGCCTAGAGGTACATCATTGTTGACTGTTAAATAACTAGAGGAAGTACCATTATGTTCAACATATTGCCTCCGGTCTAAGAGATGGTTAGAGAACCAAACAATGGTGTGACCTGAGAAACCGATTTCTGAGAGCTTATGACACAAGATGTTATGATCCACAGTGTCAAAAGCTTTAGACAGGTCTAAGGGAAGTGCAGCACAATAATCCTTAGCATCCAGTGTTTCAACAACATAATTAAGAACCTTCAGTGAGGCAGTGGTTGTGCTGTGTTGTTTCCTGAAACCAGATTGATGTGGAGGTAAGATGTTAAATGAGTCCAGGTAATTTTTGATTTGAGAGTTTTTCAGTTTTTCTAGAGCCTTGGCTAAATTTCAGAGTTTAGAGATTGGTCCATAAATGTTCAATGAGGTGGGGTCACCTCCCTTCAGCAAAGGAAGAACAAAGGCTGTTTTCCAAGTGTCTGGGATGGAGTTTTGTCTTATGGAGAGATTGAAGATGTGGGTCACAGGGACTGTGATGATATGAGCAGCCAGCCTTAAGAAATAAGGTGGAAGTTCATCTGGACCTGCAGATTTTTTAGGGTCAAGATCTTTTAACAGTTTATTGACCTCACTGACTGAGAATGGAGAAAAAGAGAAGGTGTGATTAACTGAGGATTGACTTGTAGGAGGGATTTGATTTGTAGAAGTTTGATTTTTAAGTGAAGTGGCTGATTTTCCATTAGTAACTGTGTCAAATAAAAACTAGAAGCAACAAAATGTTTGTTGAAACAGTTCAGGATCTCATGCTTATTTGACACAGGAACTGACATCATGGAGACTGATGACACAATGGTCTCTTTTGATGTCACATCACTCTTTACGTGCATTCCTGTTGATGATGCAGTAGAGGTGGTCAGTTTAAAATTAACATCAGACACCACTCTGAGCAGCAGGACCACGCTTTCCACAGAACAACTGTGTCAACTCTTGAAACTGTGCCTGCAGTCAACCTACTTCACATATGGGGAGCAATATTATAGGCAGAAACATGGGTGTGCTATGGGGTCTCCAGTTTCTCCTATTGTTGCCAACCTGTACATGGAGGAGGTAGAAAAGAGAGCCTTGACGTCCTT